TATTCACAATTTTCTTTCTTTTTTTTTGAAAGAATCTCTCTGTCACCTAGGCTGGAGTGCAATGGCACAATCTTGGCTCACTACAACCTCTGCCTCCTGGGTTCAAGTGATACTCCTGCCTCAGTCTCCTGAGTAGCTGGGATAACAGGTGCGTCACCCCACCTGGCTAATTTTTAGATTTTTGGTAAAGACGGGTTTCACTACCTTGGCCAGGCTGGTCTTGAACTCCTGACCTCGTGATCCTCCCACCTTGGCCTCCCAAAGGGCTGGGATTACAGGCATGAACCACCATGCCCAGCCTATTCCCAATTTTCTACTTCCCCAACCATTCTTCCTATCCCTTTGTATACAGGGTAGAGGAGATAAGAAACACTAGGAGTATAAAAGTAAGCAATAAATTGCAAGTACTAAATCTCTTAATATAAAAAAAGACAATGCTTAAGAAAGTAAAGAGGAGAAGACAGGAGAAAAGAAGTAAAGGGAACATAAGAGCAGGAAGGTTGACCTGCCAGCGGTTACATTTACAGAGAATGGCATGCATGGGCTTGGTACACATAAAGCTTTTAGTTAAGTCCGATGGATAAAACACATGCATATATCTTTGTTTCCTCATAAAACTCCCAAATATATATATAAAGATTGTTTTTAAAAAAGATACAAATCCATAAGTACCAAGACACTGGCCGAGATAAGACATTTGCTATCTGCTGATTTATTATTACCTGATAATAAATAACAAGAAATTTTGGGAAGGTGTAATTGGATAGTGGCAGAAGGAGAAATATAAATACCAAGAGCCTGCCAAAAATGGCACCATAAAGCCAAAAAGTTCTTTTCCCTGAAGCTGTAAAGTCACAGGCAGTGGCGTCCCCTGAAACTGTGACAGCTGAGTCAGAAGGCTAAAGGTTGGTTGAAAGTCTTTATAAAGAGCAATTAGGGCTCCAGGTCAAATCCCATCCTTGTACAGCTAGCCGAATGACTCCTCCTCAATGCTGGCAAAGAAACTGGACCAGATGGCTTCAGACTGCAAAGCATTAGATATGGCTGAGAGTAGAAGACAGGTACTGTACTGAGATCCCCTTTGAGCTCAGCTTGATGAATGTTGCCAGCCAACGGTGTTGTGAACTCCTTCATAATCCCTTACCCCAACCTGAGGAAGGAGACTATTGGATTTTTCCTCTAAGGAAACTGAACAGTTCAGAGAAAAGCCCCACAACAACACCAACATTCAATGGTCCCCTCAAATGGCTGGTTCCTTCCTGACCACTGTATATTGAAGCTTACCGAGGACTATTAAATGGGATCAGACAAAGATCTGAAGCACCCAGTGTGAAAGAGAAACTGAAGTGGACAGAATAAGAGAACTTGGTGGAAACAGAGAAAATGCAAAGAGCATAATCATGCTTTTAAAGAGTATATTCTTAGAGAAATAAATATATCGCATTTATGAAAAAAGAACGTGATGCTTAAAAGAAAGATAAAAGAACAGAGCTCTCAGAAATTAAAAGTATAATGTTAAAATTCAATAGGAAAATTACAAGAAATGTTAAGAAAATCTGTAAAAATAGAGCATCAACAACAACGAAAACAGATGAGGAAAAGGAAAGAAAAGTAAGAAAATTAAAGAACTATTCTGAGATGTCAAATATGTACCTAACAAGGAGACCAGAAAAAAAAAATGAGTGAAAAATTCTTACGTTATTATAATGATCTAAACAGTTAAAATTTACTTAAACAAAAACTATAACTTTATAGAAAGGTTAGGGAGGAAATGCAGAGGGTATGGGTGGGGGATAGGGGAATGGGAGTAAGCATGCTAAATTGTCTTCTACTATATGACAAAGTAAATAGAAAATGCCTGACAAAGATAAATCAAGATATAGCCATATATTCATGTTTTTAAAGAAAGAATAAAATTATCAAAGAAATAATGCAAAAATATTTCTTATAACTAGAGAATATAAGTTTCCATTTTTAAATGTCCAAGCAAATCCCCAAAACAATATTTAAAAGAAGAGACTAAGCCATATCACTGTGGAATTTCAGAAGGAAAAATAGAAAGAGAAGATCCTACAAGCTCCTAGAGAGAAAATTTAGACCTCACACAAAATATTAGAAATCAGAATCATTTCAAACTTCTTAACAGCATTATAGTAGAAGTTATAAGACAATAGCTTCAAAATCTGAGAAAGAATAATTTCTAACATTAGATACCCAGCTAAACTATCAATCAAGTATATAGAGACATATTGAGATATACAAGATCTCAAAACATTTATCCCATTTACTCTTTCTCCTAAAGCTGTGTAGAATTTGCTTCAACAAATAGAAGGAATGAATCAAGAAAAAGAGTATAAGAAATTCAGGAAACAAGAAGTCCAGCATAAGAATAAAGCAAAGGATTCTGGTTGAATAAAAACTTAAAAAAAAAGAAAAATGCAAAAGGAAGTCCTAAGAAGTGAACTGCAAAGCAAGCACAAAGAAAGAGAAGATCCCAGAAGGCATATCTCATAGGAGGGTTCTGCGGGAGAGGGGATAAATGGAACTGATAGATTTGTTCATGTGTTTGACTATATGGGAAATAATATTTAGAACAGTTTTACAATTCCATTGTAGATTTGGGTATGAATTAATTATATGTACATGGAACACTGAGCAATTTTATTTTTTTTAGTAAGGTGATTTTTAACTCCAGGAAAAAACAAATTATACTAAAAAGGAAATATAATCATACCATTTGGATCATCAGGGAATAATCCTTACTGCCATAATGATCAAAATAGTTAGAATTTATTTAAACAAAAACTATAACTTTATAGGAAGGTCAGGGAGGAAATGTAGAGGTTGTGGCTGTGGGAGGAGTGGAAATGGGACTAATTAAATGGAAAATGCCTGAAAATGATAAATCAAAAAATAGGCATATTTGCATATTTTTAAAGAAAATTGAGCTAAGTGGAAGAATAAACAACAAGAGTTTAAAATGGTTGATATTGAGGAGTCACACAGGAGTAAACATAGCATTGTGCAGCAAGTGCCTGACAGCTGGTTTTTGTTATAAACCTTGTGAGAGAATTTGACTTTTAAAACTAGGTGCTTCTTTCTTTGATTAATATTTTGTTAACTAAATTTTTGAGGTAGTTATTTTTTTCTTTTTTTTTAATAGCACAAAGACAGGAAGAGGATTTACTGAACAATCACATTTTTCTGTTTACAAGGGACTTTTCAAGATACGTTACCAACACGGTAAAGGATCATTGCATTAATTATTATTTTTTAAAATTAGAATAGTGGTATATACAGATGGTAATATTTACCTGGCATTGAAGTTCTCATGAAATCCACATTTGTTAAACTTATACTTTCCATCTCAATGTTTAAAAATCTTTGTTACAATACATACATATGCATATGTATACACATACACACGTATACATATGTATGTGTGTATATATGTATACTTATGTGCATATGTATATAGGGAAAGAGGGAGAGAGATTAGAACCAATAACATATAATTGTGGAACAGTCATTGAGTGGATCTCGGTTTTCTTAAGTTAGAAACTTGCTTCTGCTTTTTAAGGGTGCATGAACAAAGATTGTGGTGAGGGGAATGGATGAATGAGTGGCAGGTAAAGAGGTGCTTAGTGCCTTTTAAAAATTTATAATCAATACTTGGTGATAAACATATGCATGTGGAGTTGGCTAATTCAAAATGGAAACATTCTTTGAAATGCATTGATATTAAAATGTAACTTTTTTTTTTTGAAATGGAGTCTTGCTCTGTTGCCCAGGCTAGAGTGCAGTCATACAATCCTGGCTCAATGCAACCTCGGCCTCCCGAGTTCAAGCGATTTCTGGCTACTTTTTCTATTTTTTAGTAGAGACGGGGTTTCACCATGTTGACCAGGCTGGTCTCAAACTCCTGACCTCAAGTGATGGGCCTGCCTTGGCCTCCCACAGTGCTGGGATTACAGGTGTGAGCCACCGTGCTAAGCCTCAAAATGTAAATGTAACTTTTAATATGTTATAAAATGTGAAGGAATATAGAGGAAAATATGAAGGAGAAAATTACAAGTATAGTATATATATGCAGTTTTATTAATAAGATGCTGCTGGTGGCCAGGTGCAGTGGCTCATGCCTGTAATCCCAGCACTTTGGGAGGCCAACACAGGGGTTTGAGCCCAGCCTGACCAATTCTACTAAAAATACAAAGATTAGCCAGATGTGGTGGCACGTGCCTGTAATCTCAGCTACTCAGAAGGCTGAGGCAGGATAATCGCTTAAACCCTGGGAGGCAGAGGTTGCAGTGAGCTGAGATCATGCCACTGTACTCTAGCCTGGGCGACAGAGCGAGACTCTGTCTCAAACAAAACAAAACAAAACAAAAGATGCTGCTGGTGATGATTATACAATGAATAAATATCATGCAATATATAATAGTCTAACAACAGAGAACCGAACAGAGAAGTTAGTAGAGAAAACAGAGAATACTGAAAATTTCATAAAGCAATCTTCTTTCTTTAAGAATCATTAAGTTCTTTAAAAGCTTTAATAGTCTGGATGCAATGGCTCATGCCTGTAATCTCAGCACTTTGGGAGGCGAGGCAGGCGGATCACCTAAGGTCAGGAGTTTGAGAGCAGCCTGGCCAACATGGTGAAACCCCATCTCTGCTAAAAATACAAAAATTAGCCAGGCGTGGTTGTGGGCACCTGTAATCCCAGCTACTCGGGAGGTTGCGACAGGAGAATCGCTTGAACCCGGGAGGTGGAGAATGCAGTGATCTATTGCACCACTGCACTCCAGCCTGGAGAACAAAGAGTAAAACTCCATCTAAAAACAAACAAACAGACAGCTCAATAAATTTTCCCTTCTCTATTTTGCCAGACAGTTGTTCATATATCAAAGTACAGTCATCCCTTATGTCTATGGGGGATTCGTTGCAAGACCAACATATCTATCAAAATTGACAGATGCTCAAGCCCCTTGTATAACATGGTGCAGTATTTGCATATAACCTACCCAAATTCTCCAAAATACTTTAAATTATTTCTAGATTACCGATAATACCTAATAAAATGTAAATGCTATGTAAGTAGTTGTCATACTGTATTGTTTTTATTTGTATTGTTTATTGTCATTATTTTTATTTTGTGAATATTTTCCATCCATGTTTATAAATCCACAAATGCAGAATGCACAGATACAGAGGGCTGACTGTATATTTTATTTTGTGACATTGTCTCAATGTCTGGAGTTCTTAACTTGAAGTCCACAGACCCCCTTCCTAGAGTCCATGAATAAATGTGGGGTTGATAGGTTTTTCTAAGGAAAAATATCTGTTCTCTGCTCGATGCTTCAGGAATTAATTTAGAATCCAGCTCCAATGTGATCTAGGCAATATAATACCCTGGTGCCTTGCAAGGTTTTTCTAAGGAAAAATAGCTGTTCTCTGCTCGATGCTTCAGGAATTAATTTAGAATCCAGCTCCAATGTGATCTAGGCAATATAATTCCCTGGTGCCTTGCACTTTGAACTCAGAAATAATTTGGAGTTTTCTGTTTGAACAGGAGGACCTAAAAGAAGAATTAAAACAATTACGAGATCAAGAAAGCAAAAAAATCAAAGATCATTTTGAAACTCTAAAGAACTTAGAAAGTGGAATCTATATAAATGATGAAAAAGCAGACCTTCTGTTCCTGGAAAATAAAAAATTAAAAGAAGTAAGTTTAAGAGCACCATGCTTTGCATGATGGCTTCGATTAGTTGACTAGACCTGTAATAGTTACAAGAGAAAATAATAGCTCTTGAAAATTTTTTAATGGAGCATAAAGTACCAGAAAAGTGCCCAGATTGCAAGTGTACAGCTCCATAAACACACTTGTGTAACCAGCACCCAGATCAAGAAACAAAGCATTATCAGTATCCAGATATCCTCTATGCTCCCTCTAGTCACTAACCAGCCCCACTAAGGGTACCAGCATGCTAACATCATAGACTAGTTTTCCCTGGTTTGGAATATTGTAGTTATAGAACAATACAGTGTAGATTATTTTGTTCAACATTATGTTTGTGAGGTTCAACCTTATTGTTGAGTATAGTTTGTTACTCTTAGTTCTGTGTAGTATTCCATTGTATGACTACTATTACAATGTATTTATACACTGTATTGTTGATGGGTGTTCAGAGAGTTTCTAATTTTTGACTATTACAAATAGTATTGCTGTGAACATTCTAGTTCACATTTTTTGGTGAACATACATTTTTCTGTTGAGTATACCTCTCAAGTGGAATTGCAGAGCCATAGAGATGCATAACTCCCACTTTAGTACATACTGTCTCCCAAAGAAGTTGCACCAATTGCCACTCCCACCAGCAATGCATGAGAACACCAGTTGCTCCACACTCTCACAAAACTGTCTTTTTCAGTTTAAACATTCTGATGGTGTGTAGTGGCGCCCCACTAATTTGTGTTTTCCTGATCACTGTTGAAGCACCTATCCACTGTTGAAGCACTGTTGGCCAGTTGGATATCCTCTTTTTGTGAAGTGACTGTTCAAGGCTTCTGCCCATTTTTTTAAAGTAGGTTTTCTAGTTCATACTGATTGTAGCTCTTTTTATAGCAGAGGAATTTGTTCATCCAACTCCTAAAATTAAAGTCTTATTTATACTTAAAAGTTATTTAACATTTTAAAATGCTATATTTAATCATTAGATATTTATAAGAACTGATTTTTAATGCCCAGAACTATTGCATTCAAAGCATATTGTTAAAGTACATGGAGTCCTGTATTTTATATACTATGACAAAAACAATAACAACAAAACGTTACATAATATTATCTAGTTTGAAAGACCTGGATTAGAGTCTGTTATTCACTAGTAACTCTGTGTGACTTTGGGCAGATCACTGAACTTGTAAGCTTAATTTTTTCCTCTTAATATGGGAATAACTGCTACTCACAAGTTTAATGTGACTTCTTTATAAACTGAAAATGCAAAAGAATTATAATTTTTAAAATCCTTTTTTTGCAGCCATCCATAATGACCTCATGGTCCAGATCTGTTGTCAATGTACCCCAAGTGTTTTGCACAATGCTTGTAATGTTAGAGGGATTCAGTCTCATTTGACATTTAAGGCTCACCGTAACCTTAAAAAGTGGATAATACAGTATGTCCCATTTATAGATGTGTAAATTGAGGTTGTGGTTTTTTTTTTAGAAGTTTTAATAGCCAGAAAAAAATCAATGACTAATCCAATGGCATGAAGAAAATCCCTTCACCTCACTGGATAATTTTTTTCATCTGTTAAATGGCAATAGTTATCTCACCACTCTCATGTTTTTTTATAAACTAAAATAACATAATCAGTACTAATGCACTTTGAAAAGGTAATTGCGCTCCAAAGAGCCTGGATACATACCATCATTGATAACCCTCACACATGCATTGCATCTTCATTCTTCTAGACCTTGAAACAAACTGGTTTGTTTCACTAGACTGCTTTCCTATCAGGATATAGATTATTTCTTAAAAGAATTAGAATTCGTATTGCTATTTTGGTATTGGATGGGCAGATGGATTCGTACATGAAAGACTGATTCCAAAAGTCCTGTTTTTTTTTTTTAATTCAGTGTCCATCTGCTAGTTACCAAATGACCCTGCGCTGTTTTGTTATTCACTCACCACTCAGTTTTGCTGATTGCATCCCTTTACTCTAAACATGCACTGAGTCCCAAGCACTGAGCAAGACACAGTGAATGGAGAGATATGTAAGATACTGCCCCAGCCCTTTGGAAGCTCATGGTCTAGCTGAAGAGATGCACATACAAGCAGATCATTACAATTCAGTATGTTAAGTACAGCAATCTGAACAAGACACATTCAGTGCCCCAGAGCAAGGGCACCTTGCCACACCAGGTGAGGAGCTCAAAGGAGAACTCTCACTGGTTATCATTAGCGTAAAGGCAGGATTTACACTTGGGAGATGGATGAATCTCTTCAGGAACAGTGTGTTGAATGAGTAGATCAGGGGCTGTGAACAGAATCCTGGAGAAAAACAACTTCGAAGGAGTGAGCTGTGGAAGAGGAGATGAAGAGGTAGACTAATAGAAGATAGAGAGTTTGGGAGAAGCACAAGAGTCCAGCTGAACTAGGCAAGTCTGCAGCCCCATGTTCAAAGAAGGGCAAGAATGAGGCCTTGGACTTGGCTCAAGGTGACTTTTAATTTTGTTTATTATAATACCAGAAAACAAGCTATGAAAAGACTGATACAAGAGTAGATACATGAGTCAACCCTATATGCTTAAAACAGCCTATGTAACAGCCCCATGTCTACCTCATCTATAGCACTGAACACAATTTCTGCGAACTCTGAAAGCCCATACTTTCCGAGTTCCTGGGACTTTAGTGTTTCTGAGCACTGGGCGGTCAGAACAGAAAGCCATGACTTTAATACTGAAAGTTACCTGTCACTACTGCCGCCACTGTCACCAACCCAGTGAACATCTGACTTGAGTGAGTAATTCATGCAGTCTCCTGACTCAGTCATCTCTCTGAGGCCTTACACTCAACTCTAGTCTGGCAGCATTACTGCTTTGTGACATCTACCGCACACACATTTTGCATCAGGAACATTTTTGTAGTGGACATGATGCATTAGGATAGAACACCCTCTAATTTCCTTTCGTGGAAAATTATACTCAGAATGCAATGTTTATTTAAATGTGGAAATGAAATGCTTAATAGGAAGGAGAATTGTTTATCTCCTTCCCAGGATGGAAGCTTGACCAAGGTATGTTTTATTCACCACTGTTACCCCTTTACCTAGAACAGTGGGTAGCACAGAGGAGTAATTTATGCATGTTTGCTGAATGACTACATGATAATTTATAGTAACTAAACTGCTAAAAGCAATCACATGCTTTTAATTTTCAGTACATTTTATACATGAAGAATAACATAGAGAAATACAGAGAAGGACAAGAAGCCCTCATGCACACCTCAAGTGACTTATCTCAGCAACTGATAACTCAGGAGGGTAAGTAATGTGTGGGTGCTTGTATTAGTCACGGTTCTTTAGAGGGACAGAACTAATATGTATATATGAAAGGGAGTTTATTAAGGAGAATTGACTCACATGATCACAAGGTAAAGTCCCATGATAAGTGATCTACAAGTTGAGAAACAGGGAAACCGGTGGAGGATCGGTCCGAGTCCCAAAGCCTCACAAGTAGGGAAGCTGACAGTGCAGCCTTCAGTCCGTGGCCAAAGGCCCAAGAGCCCCTGACAAACCACTGATGTAAGTCCAAGGGTCCAAAAGCTGAAGAACTTGGAGTCTGATGTTCGAGGGCAGGAGGCATCCAGCATGGGAGAAAGAAGAAGGCTGGAAGACTCAGCCAGTCTAGCTGTGCTGGCAGCTGATTAAATAGTTCCTACCTAGATCGAGGGTGGGTCTGCCTCTCCCAATCCACCGACTCAAATGTGAATCTCCTTTGGCAATACCCTCATAGACATACCCAGGAACAGTACTTTGCATGCTTCAATCCAATCAAGTTGACAATATTAACCATTACAGTGCTCTTTACACATAAAATGTTTACTTCATTTAAATCCATTTTACTGATTTGCCTACAAAAAATGCACCCATTTTTAGGTTGGTGAATTTTGACAAATGTACATGCCAGTGTAACCACTACCACCGTAAGCAAGATACAGAACATTTTCATCACTACAAAATTTTCTCTGTATTCTTTTGCCATTGATCACCTACCCCATCTCCAGTTCCTGGAAACCATTGATCTGCTTTCTGTCATTAATAATTAGATATAAATGAAATGATAGCATATGCACACTTTATACCTGACTTCCTTCACTCAGCAAATTGTTTTAAGATTCATCCAGGTTGTTGCATGTATCATTAGTTTGCTCCTTTTTATAGCTGTACCATAGAATCCTATTATATAGATACCATATTTTGTTCATTCATTCACCAGTCAAAAGACATTTAGATTATTTTCAGTTTGGGATTATTATGAATGAAGCTGCTGTGAACGTTCGTTTACAAGTGTTTTATGGCCATGTTTTCATTTTTCTTGGGTAAATACCTATAATGGAATTGCTGAGTTATATAGCAGTTAGTATATGATTAACTTTATAAGAAATATATATGGTTAGTATATGATTAACTTTATAAGAAACCACCAGATAAGTTTGCCAAAGTGATCGTTAAGTGTCTCATTCCACTGACAATGGAGAAGAGTTCCCATTGCTCTGCATTCTCATCAGCACTTAAAATTGTCAAAACGCTTTAAATTGTTAATATTCTGGTCGTTTTAATAGGTATGTAATGGCATTTCATTGTGATTGTAACTTGTACTTCTCTAATGACAATGTTGTTGAGTATCCTTTTTCATGTATTTCATGACCATATGAATATTATCTTTTGTGACAAATACTGCAAACATAGTAGCTGAAGACAAATTATTTACTTTGCTCACTAATTGACAATGTGATCAGAGCTTGTTGAAAACAACTTAATGTCTGCTCCACATGGCATCAGCCAGGGCAACCTGAAAACTGAGGGTAATTCAGCAGCTGGGAACTTAAATCATCTGAAGACTGACTTATTCCTGTGTCTGAAGTTGATGCTGGCTCTCAACTGGATCTTGAGGGAGACCATCGGCCAGAACACCTCCTCATGGCCTCTCCTTGTAGCTGTTTGGCCTGGTTCCAAAAGCATCCCAAGAGAATAAAGTAGCAGTTCATGGTGTCTTATGACCTAGCCTCAGAAGTCAGTGTTACTTCCACAACATGCTAATGGTTGAGGCAGTCACTCAGGTGCAAGTGGAGGGGTCATAGCCACCACTGCTCAGTGAAAGGAGTATCAGCATCGTGTCGGGGGTAAAAAAAGAATGGGTTATATTGTGGGGCTATCTTTGGAAAATACAATCTGTCACATGTCTGTCCACATCTTTATCTCATTGCTTTGTGTTGTTTACTATTATCAAGTTAAAATCTTAATATTTTCTGGAAATGAGTCCTTTTTCAGTCTGAAGCTTGACTTTTTGTTTTCTTCATGGTGTCTCAGAAAGAGTAAACAGTTTTCATTTGAATAAAACCCATCTATCTATTTTGTCTTTTAAGTTTAGTACTTTTTGTTTCCTGCCTAAAACATTTTTGCCTACGCCAAGCTCTTGAAGATTTTCCTGTATAATTTTTTTTTTTTTTTTAGTTTTAGTGTTTATGTCTAGATCTCTAATTCATTTTAAGTGAATTTTTTCATATGATGTGAGGCAAGGCTTGAATTTCATTGTTTTGTCTTACGTACATTCAGTTGTTCCAGTACTATTTTTGAAAAGACCATGCTTTTGCCATTGTATTATTCTAGCAGCCTTTCAAAAATCAATTTTATGGGTTTGTTCCTTTAATCTAAATGCCAAACTTTATACCAATACCACACTGTCTTAATTATTATAGCTTCATATGCAGTCTGGACATCAGGTAACAGAATTCTTCACCTGTATGCTTCTTTTTTAAAATTATTTTCACTATTCTAAATTCTTTGATTTCCATATACATTTTAGAATCACCTAATTAATCTGTATATACACAGACACATACACACACACACACACACACACACACACAGACACACACACCTGCTGGAATCTTAACTGTGTGTTGAATCTATAAGTCAATGTTAGAAGAATTGACATTTTAATAAAATTGTGTTATGTAATCCAAGAATATAGTATATATATCTCCATTTATTTAGGTCTTTATTTCAAAAAAAATGTGCAGCTTTAGTGTAGTATCAGATGTCCCAGGACTACTCTTAGGCTTAATGATTAGCTAAAATGATTCACAGGAATTGAAAATTGTTATACTTATGGTTACTGTTATTATAGAAAGATACAGAGTAAAATCAGCAAAGGGAAAAGGCACAGAGGGCAAAGTCTTGAGGAAACCCCGTGCAACCTTCTCAGAGATGCCCTTAATTTCCCCAGCAACATTGTGTGGCCCCACATGCAGTGTTGCTAGCCAGGGAGGCTCACCCAGGATTGGCTGTTCAAGGTACTTATGGGCAGGGGGAATGGTCAGTCATATAGGCACAGAGTGCCTGGGTGACTAGCCTCAGCTGCTCAGACATCCACTGAGATGCTCAGCTGGTGTTACTCCTTTATGCTGTTCATGTGGTAAGTTGCACTGATTGAATTTGAATTCTCTCATTCTTAGCATAAAGCCCACTTGTCCAAAAGCTTTTATTGTTCTTGTCTATTGCTAGATTCAATTTGCTAATCTTTTTGTGTCTGTGTTAAGACCACCCTGCTGTGCTTGTGCTGTGGTCTGGAAAGTACGCCCCAGTGGAAAGCTGGGTGATCACAGGACTCACCTCCTTTGCTTCACTTCTTCCTGGTGTCAAGGTCCTGGGCTGCCCATTCTTTAACATCTGAAAACATTTCTTTCATATGTTTTTCTTCTTTCCTCTACTTGTTTGTAGTGGGAGGGCAAGTCCAATACAGTTATCCTGTCATTTTGGAAGTAGACATTTTTAGTTAAAAAATAATTTTTGAAAAAAAAAACACATGACTTTTATTAAAATGTTCAAATTGTATCAGTAACCATTGTATTTTTTAAATCTTTATTTTAGCACAATATGAGAATTTGTGGGCTGAATTTCAGGCCACAGTTAAGGTGAGTTTTGTGTGTGTGTGTGTGTTGCCTCCATATAAATAACTGTATTTCCAAAAATGTTTACCTACCTAATAAGTGTGTGTGCTTTTGTGTCTGTGTGCACCTGCATGCACACACATCAAGGTGGAAAGTCACACTAGCTCTGTCACTCCCCTGAAGTCCTAGATGCTACTGTGACCACCACTTCCTAAAACGTGTCCTTTTTAAAATTTTTTTAACCAAATGTCACTATGAAATCTTAATTTTTTGGGAAACTGTCTTCCTACCATTCAGTTAAGGTGGGAAAGACTTTGCATGACCTAAATGAACACATTTTGTTTAGGACAAAGTTGTCAGTTCTGGACTCCTTACCTCTTCATTTTTACCAGTGCAACATCTGCACCCTCCCCACTTCAGTGTCAGATAGGCTGGGGTTAAAATCCTGGCTCTGCCACTTTCTAAGTATTTAAAGTTTACATATAATCCTCCATTTAAGTATTAAAACACTGGATTAGGAAAGTGTTAAAATGCCTTTTTCAGATGGAGCTGCTGAGGCTCAGAGGGTTTACATAACTTGCCCAAGACCAAATAGTTTGTGAACGTATGGGAATTTACAACGCACATCCTGCCCAATTCCAAAGTTCCTTCTGTTAGGGTGAATCTTCTCTGCAGCTCTGTGCTTCTCTGAGGGGGGAAACTAGCTTTTTATGCTGCCATCACCATGGCTACCATTATCCACTTAAAAATTTGAATTCAGTGAGCATTCCATTATTCTTCTCATTTGATAATCCATTTTCCCAAGATCACTTACAGAACTTTGTGAATTGGCTGTGTATACATGCACTTATTTTTTATGATGGATACCAGTTTTTCATATATAATATTTTCATTCTGGGCATGATCCACTTAGACAGAATGTGTATTTATTTATGCTGTTGCAATTTATGTTGACATACCCTAAAATGCCGTTTCTTTAGATCTTGGTGGACAATGGTGAAGAGACCGTGCAAGACATAAAAAATCTAACAGACAAACTGTGTGAAAGAGATGAAAACATGGAGCATATCAGTACATGGCTACAAGGAAGTCTTGAAGAACTGCATTCTCTTGTGAAGCAGGAATCACCAATGAACCTTCTTAGTAAGCAACAGCTTAGAACTTTGGTAACATGGGACTTGCTAATATTTTACTATGTAGCTGGTAACATCAAAAGAAGAAAAAAAGTGTCACCTAAGTAACTTAGTTATCCCCAATTATGCCACAAACATTCAGTTGAACATTGATACTTACTTGTGGATTGAATACACTGTTGCAGTGTTAGCCAATTCTGCCTTTCACCTAAGATAATTTTCTTTTTTTTTTTTTTTTTTTTTTTGAGACAGCATCTCACTCTGTGGCCAGGCTGGAGTACAGTGACGCAATCTCGGCTCACTGTAACCTCTGACAGATATTTTCATCTGTCAACCTCTGGTTCAAGTGATCCTCCTGCCTCAGCCTCCCAAATAGCTGGGATTACAGGCACTCACCACCACGCCCAGCTAATTTTTGTATTTTTTTTTACCATATTAGCCAGGATGGTCTCAATCTCCTGATCTCATGATCCACCCACCTCAGCTTCCCAAAGTGCTGGGATTACAGGCATGAGCCACTGAGCCCAGCCTAAGAGAATTTTCTAGACAACTGAATCTTCTTTATAATTTTAATAAAATGTTTATCTTAAACATTTTTCAGAGAGGTCTTTTTAAACTTGTTTATACATTTGTTGGTCTTCTTAAACAGAAGTTGAATATAATTTTACCTTTTCTTCCTGAGCTGAGTTTAGCATTAAAAATAGCAACTGTTACCTTCTTGGAAAAAATCTAGTGATGGCTTTGAGGGCTTCTGAGATGTTTACACCTCATGTCTAACATGCTTGCCTCATGAGCAAGCAGTCCAGTCTCTCCAGAGGCATATCAGCTTCATCCTCAGTCCCCACAATATTGTCATGTTAGACACAACCACAAAACTCTGTCCAGATTAGGGCTGTGGTGAGAAATGAAGGTGAGTCCTTGCACAGGTGACTGCCCAGAGGTTCCAATGGTAGAATCATCTGGGAAGATAGGATGGTGGGGATAGATGGAGCTGGGGAGAAGGAAAGAGAACAGAGTCTAGAAGAGAGATGAAATGATAAAACAAAAATGCTATCATCTGGCAAGTGTACAGATCTATTCATGGTTATTAAGGCTTAGTTTTAAAGAGCATAATCACTAGATAAGCAATTTTAAAAGTAGGATGTAGAAATAAAATGGGATAAAAGTAAAAAGATCTGGGTGCAGTGACTCATGCTTATAATCCTAGGACTTTGGGAGGCTGAGGCAGGAGGATTGCTTGAGTCTAGGTGTTCGAGACCAGCTTGGGCAACATGATGAGACCCTGTTTCTACAAAAATAATTTTAAAGTTAGCTGGGTATGGTAGCGCCTCTGTCTCAGCTACTTGGAAGGCTGAGGTGAGAGAATTGCTTGAGCCTGGGAGGTTGAGGCAGCAGTGAGCCATTATTGTGCCACTGCGCTCCAGCCTGGATGACAGAGTGAGACCCTGTCTTAAAAGTAAAAAGAGGGATAGTGGTAAGATTAAGTCAAAATAAAAAAGAGGAATAGTGATAAGACAGTCAAGTGCACTGTCTTCATGTGAGTCAATCTTCCATTTTTATCTGAAACCTGATGGAATCTTTGTGTTGCAACAAATTTAAATAGATGCTTGAGAAAAGTTTCACTGAATTACTAATATCATATTTCCTTTTTCATATATTTTGAGGACTGTATTATAGATAATCTATGACAAATAGAGACTAGCAGTGTACAAATAAGTAAAGACCACCCAAATGAGAATAAGCAGAGGCTGTTTATGCAGAGTTTGTTATAGCAATGGATCCAGTCACTGTCTTAGTTTACTTGGGCTACTATAACATTCTGTACACTGGGTAGTTTATAAAGAACACAAATTTATTTCTCACAGTTCTGGAGGCTGGGAAGTCCAAGATCAAGGCACTGGCATATTTGGCTTCTGCTGAGGGCCCACCTCCTTGTTCATAGAATGGTGCTTCCTCACTGTGTCCTCAAATCATGTAAGGGGTAAGGCAGCTCTTTGGGGCCTCTTTGATAAGGGCATAAACTCCAAGACCTAACCACCTCCCAAAGGCCACACCTTCTAATACACATGGGAAATTAGGTTTCAACATAGGAATTTTGGAGGAGACACAAACGCTCAGACCATAGCAGCCACCATTACTTGCTTTTATTTTTTTGAGACAGGGTCTTTCACCCTGTTGCCCAGGCTGGACTGCAACCTCTGCTTCCCAGGCTCAAGCAATCCTGTCACCTCAGCCTCCCAAGTAGCAGGGACTACAGGCACATGCCACTGTGCCTGGCTACTGTGTGTGTGTGTGTGTGTGTGTGCGCGCGCGCGCGTGTATTTTTTTTTTTTGTAAAGACGAGGTTATGCCATGTTGCCCAGGCTGGTCTTGAGCTTCTCAGCTCAAGCAATCCTCCTGCCTCAGCCTCTCAAAGTGCTGGGATTATAGGTGTGAGCCACCGTACCTTCAAAGCGCTGCTTCTGACATGTTATTTAACCTCCACTCCTCAGTCTCCACAGTTGTGAAATATCACTGATAGCTAACAGGAGTTATAAAACACTAAACCCATATTAGGCACTCATCAGATCCTTGAAACCTACCACCCTTCTGGGGAGGTAATGGTAAAGTTTGTTTCCTTGAATTCCTTGCCCATCTCTGAGCCACCTGTAATCTCCCGGCCTTTGAAGGTTCCCTGTTGAGTTGGTTCTGCCACAGGACTTCTGGAGAAGCCCTTACATCAGGTCAGCACTCCTCTACTGTCCTCTTCTGGCCATGATAGTCACTGCAGCCTGCAGGTCCTGCCCTCTCCAGGATCACTGCACTAGCTTCATCAATACTGGGTGCTTTAGAGCCTGACACTGGAGCAGATGTTACAAAGTTGAGTAAGACCCAGGCCGTCAACCTTAAAGTGCATACTCTGTGAGAAACAGACAATTGAAGAGCTGATTAGAATACACTGGATTCTTTCTAGAAAGTGGCTATCGAAGGGTAAAGCTCTAAGTCTTATTGGATGTTGGAGTACACGGGAATATTTTCCCAAAGGAGAAGCACAGACATGAGCTGGTCAAGAACTGCAAGTAGCAAGGCTGAGTGGAGATCAGCTGAGGGAACCAACCAGCAAGACGGTGGGATAGGCTTGTCAGAATGTTAAAGGGCAGACTTCAACCTGAAAACTAATTACTAAAAACTTCCTTTTTGCCTTAGTTTTCTTTCTTATAAATCAAAAGTAAGTTAATTCTTAGTGTATATGTAAGCTAAACAGTAACTTAGTACAGTTATTTTTAAAGTATTAAAAAGAATTTATCTTAAAATTACAAAAGTCCTCGAAGTATTATGTCATATACTATAACTCAGGTTATATAAATAATTTGTGTATTAACCAAGTATCTTGATAGGTGGTCTATAGAAGATATTTTTAGGATGAGGTACTTTGAAAGAAACATTAAAAAATCCATTTATATAACTGTCAAGGCTATCTCTTTGTTATTGTGATGAAGGGCTTGATACAATCATCTACATTTTAATTCTAGAAAAGTGCCCCCTTATAATTACAGCAGAATCAAAATTTCAGTGAGAAGAAAATCATTTGCCCTATACTTGTCAAAAGGTCTCTTGGAAAAATTGAGATCTGAAATTTGGAAGAGTTTAGATCAGTGGTTCTCAAATGTTAGAATCACCTGGAGGTTTTAAAAAAATCCCTGTGCTTAGCCAGGTGCCATGGCTTATGCCTGTAATCTCGGCACTTTGGGAGGCTAAGGTGAGTGGATCACTTGAGGTCAGGAGTTCAAGATCAGCCTGACCAACATGGTGAAACCCTGCCTCTACTAAAAATTAGCATGGGTGTCATGGCAGGCACCTGTAATCCCAGCTGCTTGAGCAACTGAGGCATGAGAAATCACTTGAACCCAGGAGGCAACAGTTGCAGTGAGCCAAGATTGCACCACTGCACTCTAGCCTGGCAACAGAGCAAGACCCTGTCTCAAAAAA